AGGGGCTGTTAATGTTTGATGGGGCACGTGAGGGACCTGCGACCTGGCTGCGCAGACGACGTGGGGGGTGGTACCGGGTGAGCTCCGGGTGCTCGCCCCTGGCTCCAGGAGCTCAGCACCCCTCCAGGTGAGCCCCAGCTGTGCTTTCCCTTCTGCTTGCCAGCCCTGGCAGCCGTCCCTCTGCCGCCCACGGGGCCGGGCTGCAGGGCCAGGGAGGGACCAGGCATTGCAGGGGGTCCCAGGGCTGTGGGCAGGGTTCTCTTGCTCTGGGTGTTGGTGTAGGGTCTCCTGTAAACAAATGAGTAGGAGTGTTTCTGGGTAGGGAGCAACAAGCGCCACGCTCAGCAGAAGGGACTCATCCTGCGAAGGGGCCACCATGTCCCCCCAGGGATGGCGCCAGTGGGGAAGGCAGGAGAACAAGCAGCCATCCATCCCCGCAGAGTGGCTGCCCAGCAGGGGTACAACTACAGCTCCCCGGCACAAACCCAGCCTCCAGCACAGCACAGCCCTGTGTTGAGCCACCCTTGCTGGAGTTTTCTTCCCTGAGCTTGCCCAGGTGGGACTCTGAAGCACTGCGAGCAACCAGGTCATCCCGCAGCGAGGAGTCCCATCCTTGAACCACTCATGTCCTGGCCCCATGGTGTCACTGATGCCTGAGTCCCTGTGCTAGGAGACAAGGCATGTCTGTGCTGCCATTTAACCAAGCTCCCAGATAACCCAGTGCCCCAGCCCCATCGTCCCTGGTGCAGGTTGCCCAGTCCCACAGACCCCTGGAGCCAAACACTGCTCTTTGCTGGCTTTTATTGACATGAACAAGTTTTGGCTTGCTTCTTGGAGCCGAGCCTGGTCCCTGGTTCCTGCTCGGTGCTGTCATGCAGGGACCTCCATCTCCCCCTGCGGCTGCTCCTTGGTCTCCAGTGCCTGGCGCGTGTCCACCTGCCATTGCTGCACCAGGTCCGTCGGGGTCTTGCCAGCCTGCAAGAGCAGGCAGAGAGAGGCTGGGGCTGGGGTGGCACGATATGATGGGGCAAGCAAATGGCCTGAGTGCTGCCCCCCCCAATCACCTGGTTCTTGGCCATCATGTCAGCCCCATGCAGGATCAGCATTTTGATGATCTTGTAGCGGCTGAGCCGCGTGGCGTCGTGCAGTGCTGTGTCACCTTCCTGTGATAGATGCACCCTGGCTGGGGATCGTGGACAGGGACCCCCTGCCTGTCCCCAGCACTGCTCCCTGGTTCCCCACACACCCACCTCCCCATGGGGACAAGGGGGACAGTGCCCACCCCAGCCCTGGCTGTGGCTGCTGGCACACTGGGGCAGAGTCGTGCCCCACTGCAGGTACTGGGAGCCCCCAGAGGGATCAGCCAAGGGAGGGTGGATCAGCATTTTCCCCCCAGTGCTGGCTGTGTGGCTGTGGCACTCACCCTGTCTGGGGAGTTGATGTCCACCCCACAGTGGATGAGGTGCTCCACAATGTCAAGGTGCCCAGTCCGGGTGGCCACATGGAGGGGGGTGCTGAGCAGCTTGGGGAGAGGGGAGATGGACACCAGAAGAGATGAGCACGCACCCCTGCTAACCCAGCACAGGGCAAGCCCTGGTCCTCTGGGGCATGCCCATGCCCCTGGCACAGCGCCATGCCCCCGGGCTCTGCCCCGCACACCTTGTCCTTCAGGTTGAGGTCTGCCCCACGGTCCTGCAGCAGCTTGACAGCGTCCAGGTGCCCACCCCGGCAGGCCCAGTGCACAGCGGTGCAGTCCAGCTGTGTGCACAGAGCC